AGTGTTATTATGATGTGTGATATTCAAACAAATATAACAAGGTATAGATACGAAGCCTAAGTGAAAGGAATATACCGTGTGATAGACAATACGAAGGGCTACGCATCGGTGAAGACGGTGGCGGAAACGAAGACCGGAGGTGGCCGAAAAACGTGTGCGAAGTCAACACGAAACTGTTGGAATCTGCGAACTGCTACCGTCGAGCAATGTTTTGGATATTAAAAAGAGAGATATAGAGTGATTTAGAGCGTGATACAAATTGGAGGTGATAGGCAACATGTAGGTCTACTCACTGGAGAAAAAATCGATGAAAACGGAGGTCGGAGGTGATCAGAAAGTGCGCGCGAAGTCGGCACAAAGCTGCAGTTTTCTGCAGTGCAATTGCTCGCTATTCGGGTTTGTTCTTTGCTGTTCATAGCCTTTCGCCTCTGTCTAGGCTTGCCGAAGGTGAGAGGAGGTTGCCGGGGGTTGTTCGGTGTCTTGGTGGGCTTCGACTGGGCTCGCCGGCGACTAAAAGATGGAAACGACGGTTGTAGGGGCTGGCGGCATTAACGGGGGTGTGGCTGGATGTTGTTCGGGCTGAGGGCAGGAGCTCGTAAGCAGAGCTCGTCGGAGATGTGAAGGTGGAGAGGACGGGTGGTGTTGGGCTGCTGAAGGGGTTGTTGGTCGACGACGATCGGAGTTGGGCTATAGGTGTTTGGAGGCGTCGAGGATGAGGCGGGGACGGAGTTGGGGAGAGGCGGAGGATGAGAGGGAGAAAGCAATGCTTGGTAGAGCTCGGCCGGTGGTGAGGGGAGAGGAGGAAGAGGAGGGGGAGCTGGAGGTGTGAGCGGGTGAAGGTAGTGGAGTTGAGGAGGAGGTTGAGGCGATGGGTTCTGTGAGTTGAGAGGGAGAGAGGAAATGGAGAAAGAGATGAAGAGAGAGAGAGAGAAATATAAAGAGGGGAGGACGTGAGTGAGAGTGAGAGAGAGAGTGTGTGAGAGTAACAGAGAGAGATTAAGAAAGAGAGTGAGCTGGAGTGAGAGAGAGAAAGAGAACGATAGAGAGATTAAGAACGTGTGAAGAGAGATATATAGAGAGAGAACAAGATTGGCTGAGAGACAAAGAGAGAGATGATTGGAGAGAGAGTGAGGGAGACAGGAGAGAGAGACAGGGAGAAGGGTTGGTGGGAGAGCTCGGCGTGTATCTCATGGGCGTGAGTTTTGTCAAAAGAAGTGGGTGAGTGCGTTTGGCGGAATTGGCGCAGTCAAAAATAGATGGAGAAAGAGAGAAAGAGAAAGAGAACATGTGAGAGAGAGGTTAAGAAATGGTTTAGTTAATTAATGGGTATATGAGTAAAAGCTTTTAGGTATTTCATTTTGGTTTGATATTAGTCAAGGCAAATAGCCTAGTGGTTAGATGGTTTGATAACAACTCAGGGGGTTTGGTGTTCGAATCTTATGAGCTCCATTTGCTCAAACATTTTTTTATTTTGATTTTATTATTTTTTTAGAAAATTTCTATTAAAATAGGGGTAAATATAAATATTTTTTAAAAAAAATAAATTTTAATATTTAAATACCAGAAAAATTTATTTAAACCGGTAGCGAATGTTATGGTCCTTATAAATTTGGAAGCATATATGGACGACCTCCTAGTGAAGTCATAGCAGGAATCGACCCACATATCTGATTTGAAAGAGACATTCTCTATCCTTCGGTGCTACCGCATGAAACTCAATACAGTTAAGTGTGCCTTTGGGGTACAATCAGGAAAGTTTCTTAGGTTTATGATCACCCAGAGAGGCATTGAAATCAACCCAGAAAAGATAGCCACCATAGAGCGACTACCCGAACCCCGTACTTTAAAGGATGTTCAGAAGCTGAACATAAAGTTAGCGGTGTTGGGTCATTTCATCTCCGAATCTACCAAGAGGAGCCTCCTATTCTTCAAGACATTGAGGGGAAGCAAGGAACTAAAGAAGAACATGAGTTGGATGGCCGAATGTAGTGCGGCTTTTCAAGACCTCAAGGCATACTTGAGCACCAACCCACATATAAGCCAACCAGTAGGAGGGGAGACTTTGTGTGACGCCCCAGGGTTCACACAAGGCTGCAGTCCCAGATAAAACCCGGATTATCAAACCTGCCAAGCACCAACCATAATGCTACGATATGTTTCACCATCACAATCACTATCTCTCTAGTGGAAACAATAAATAGGTGAAGGTACAAACATGCAAAAATAGAAATAGGCAACACTGGATATACACAGAAGAAGCATAAGAAATATTAATAATGAGCCCAACTGAAATAGAATAGAAATATCTCTGAGTATAAATTGGATCTCAAATACAATGAGTCAAATAAACAAAGTCTCACAAAAGCTCTCAACTCTAAACTAAAATACCAATCAAGAGTCTGAAAATAATCAACTACATGTGGAGTTCTACAATAACTACAAAGTATAATAAGTAGCTAAATGGACAACTAAGAAGTCCCATCAACCTGCGACTCTTCGTGCGCTGAACTCACTGCCTGGAAGAGGGGAAACAACGAGCGTCAAAGCGCTAGCGAGATCATCACTACCTCTCCCCAGGGGAAAGGGTAGGAGAATATAAGAAAATAGAGTCAGTACTTACATATATCAAATCATTCATATAGCTCTTTATGAAAAATAAATAGTCAAGCAAACATACTCAAATCTCCAACATAAAGAATAAATACATCATCTCGAATTACATCCGAGTAGCCTGCTCTAATATAAGAGGATGTCAACCAAACCAAAACGAATACAACTGCCGTCCATAACGGGTGTGCCAAAATCTCAAAGGAAATACCCTACTCGCGGGTAATCTATCATGGAAGTAAAACTTACAACTGATCAAATATCTATGTGTGCATCATCTTGTGCTATAGCGATACTCTTGTAATGCTCTTACTCAATCGCTCTGCGGCAAAGGATTTATTATCTCCCTATTCCAGATACATGTAATAACGATATTATTGTAATACTTTTACTCAATCGTTCTGCAGTAATAGGTTTCATCTCCTTATTTCCGGATACGTGAAAGATCAAATACTAGTCATGTGTATTTATAAATTTAACTTGTGACAAAAGTGTGTTAATTTAACACAAACTAAGCATAAGTGCATGTATCTCGGTGTGCGTGTCCACATCTGAAGTTCACCATCATCCCAGGTATTTAACAAGTTTTAACATTGTAGTTAATCATCACAAGGTCGAGAGAAACGCTCGACAAACCGAAATCAAACCAAAACCATACACATGCCAACATCAGACTGGCGGTGAGAATACCCAGCTCTCTGCCCTGCACGCGGTCGACTGTGGCGGTCGACCGTGAGCCCAAAATCCAGTTTTTCCAAATTTTTGTGTGTGTCGTGTTCACGTTGTGTTTTTGTGATTCAAACATGGTAAAAACTTCATGAATCTTGCATACAAACATGTTACAACAGATTGAAATATCTAGAAACAAAATCAACATATATAACCATGATTTTATGCATTATATTTATATTCAAAACCCTAAAACATGCATAAAAGTTCAAAACGATGTATCAAACTTCTTTCTTTAGATTAACCACGTTTCAAAATCATCTTCAGATCTTAAATACATCTGTAAAATTCGTTCTCAACCTTTTTAGCGTGAAAAGACCTAATCTTTATACATATAATACAAACGAGTTGTCTTTTATTCATAATCTAGTCATTTAGGCTCTACAAAACATGTTTAAATCTCTTAAAAAAATATTTTGAAAACTGGGAGGGGGATTAGCAGAGATGATACTCGCCTGAGATTATCGAAAAATATTTTCGAAGCAAGGTTGAAAGAGATCTCCACTCCAAAAGCCAAAAGCCAAAAGCCAAGAAAAAATCCCGCTCGAAAGCCTCCAATCTTCTCCAAGAAATCAAACTTGTGGTTGTTAGGGTTCTTAGGAAAACTGAGAAAAACATGAAAAAACTCATATATATAAAAACAAACTGCAGGTATCGGGTCGACCGTGGCGGTCGACCGGGCTGCGGTCGACCGCGACGGTCGACCGGACTGGGATTTACTAGTTTTTTTTATGAGTCTGGTCATTGTGCATGTTTCGACTCTTTTCTCTCTCCTGTTTGAACTCCTTCATACCCAAAACACATGGTATTATACTCATATACTATTAAATGATATTTATCATACTAAATATCCATATATCATAATTAATCTCATATTAATATATCATTCAAAAAATTATCGGGGTTTTACACTTTGTACCTGTATTTGGCCGTCTCCCCTAAAGCCATCAATTCCATTCTAATTCAAAAGGAAGAGAACATCCAGAAGCCCGTGTACTATGTCAGCCGAATCCTAAAGCAGGTGAGCTCAACTATCCTCTCATAGAGAAGACTATCTTCATCCTCATCACCACTACAAGGAGACTCCGCCCCTACTTCCAAGCCCATTACATAATTGTCCAGACAAATCTGCCTCTAAAGAAAGCACTTGGCAGTCCCACAACCTCTGGAAGGATGGTCGCTTGGTTAGTCAAACTCAGCGAACATGACGTGCAGTTCGAGCCAAGGGCGACGATCAAAGCTTAAGCATTGGCCGACTTCCTCATCGAGTCAACCTCACCAGCGACGAGTCGGCTGCGCCTTTACCACCAACTCAGGAAAAGCCTCCAACACCTCTAGTAGTCTAAGTATTTTCCCTATAGACCCATCACATCCTAGAATATAATTCACCAGAGTTTGCCTCTTAGTGGTTGTTGAAGGTGGATGGGTCCTCTGGAGAAGCCGACAGCTGAGTTGGAGTGGTACTGCGCAGCCCAGACAGGTCAACATACGAGCACTCCATTACTTTTTGTTTCTCAACCTCAAACAATAAGGTGAAATATGAAGCTCTTCTGGCTAGCCTTAGGGCAGCTCTAGCAGTAGAAGCCGAACGCCTCTACATATTGACCGACTCCCAGCTTGTTGTCCATCAGGTAAATGGGCAATACATAGTAAAAGACCCGAGAATGGTCCTGTACCTTAGAGCAGTTAAGGAGATACTATCCAACTTCATTGACTTTGAGATATCTCAAGTTCCCAGCGCTCTCAATGCTTGGACAAATGCCCTCGAGCATCCCAGCATCTCGAAGCCTCCAAAGACGATCATGCAAACTGAGGTGCCTGTGGTACCCTATTGGATAGATCCCATAATCCTTTATCTAATGCAAGGCACACTACCCAAGAGCACCACCAAAGCTAAGTGTCTGTAA